TTTTTTTTTAAAAAAAAAAGACTACTGTCTACAAATAATTAAATGGTAAGCATTTTAGGGCTAAAGTTCAGTTTAATAATCTCGAACTATGAGCCTATTAAATAATACTTTATCTCAAACTGTATTCAAAATCCTTAGGACTTTGGGAACTTTCTTCCTCATGCTACTGGGCCCTGAATCAGAATTGGGTTTGTCATCCAACCTCCCCCCCAACACACTCAGCACACCTCTACCCCAAAATTCAAGTCCAACACCCCCACTGCTTACTAGCAACCACTTTTCCTGTGTTCAGAGCAAGTAGTGAAATATGGTGAGGCAAACGAGATACATTCAATCTTTCAGGGTAGCAATGAATGGAAACGGGAACAAAGCCAACCTTGCTTGAAGGTGAATGCATTTAATGTCCTAATTACTCAACAGTCCCGCGATTAAAGAAAGCTTTCTGAGCCTCTCCAAGATCTCCAAACAGAATGCAAATCAAGAGCTCACAGAATTTTACAGGTTGAATTTGTGCAGCAAAATTACATTAATGTTCGCCAAATTTAATACTCATTATTAGTCACTTGTGTTGATTCCACCGCCCCACAATGTACACTGAATTAGCAAATGCAAGAAGCATCAACCTTTATTTTCCTACGCAGTTAATATCTTCCTCCATGGCTTATTGTTATAGCACCAAAACGAAGTGATTCTGCCTTAAAAATATGCTGAATAGAACATGCTTTTCCCATCAAGGGCTATTCAAGCAAAGAGTGTGCTTGCTAAGCAGCATGATGTAAGAAATGTCAAAATATTTTTCTATCGTGTATGTAAGTATAGTTTTCCACGAACAATTTTTGTGCATAGATTTTATTTCGGATGTACTGTTCCGCTTTCTCTCACCCCCACCCCCACCGAGTGGTTGATATAAGCATACCTCACCAAAACCCCATTATCTACAACTTGTAAAAATGGGGTCAAGTTTTACAAGTACAAATATAAATAACTAATAATTAATTTGACCAATGTGTAATTTATTTGGGGCTCCAAGTTCAGACACCTTGATGGACTGGGAGAGGATGCATGCATTAAGATAAATAGCTTGTTGTTTGGGAGGTGTGTCTGTGTGTGAAACAGCAAGATAGAATGGGAGAAAATCTATATGCTTGATCCAGATGTGCAGCTTTTCTGGTTTTGGTTAGCCAGGATCCGTACATGTATCTGCCCATAAGCCATTTGGGCTTCTTCACTGGCACTTCCACACAATTAATAATGACAAAGCCACATATTTCGTCTTATTTGGTCTCCAGGAAGTATAGCCTGGATCCACACAATGCTGAAGTCTAGATCAACCCCATTGTCCTTTGTCTACAGCAGCTGGCCCTTACTGAAAATTGCAGGCTAGCATGTAGGGACTGCAAGCTCCAGATTGATCCTGCTTTCGACTGTGGTCTATAAGGAAAGCCCAAAACCAGAGTTTGGATACCCTAGAGCAGTGTTTCTCAACCTTGGTGACTTTCAGTCCTTTGGACTTCAACTCCCAGAATCCCCCAGCCAGCTATGCTGGCTGGGGGAATTCTGGGAGTTGAAGTCCACAGGACTGAAAGTCGCCAAGGTTGAGAAACACTGCCCTAGAGAAACAAACTGTGGTTTTACAAGCCAGACAGGCACGGGAAAGCAGGGAAGAGGGTGAGCGCCTGAACACACCGCTTGTTCCCATACCAACAAATACCAATTTAACTCAACCTCACAGTAGATGCTGTGAGAAGGGTTTTCTTTTTTGGACCACATGTTTGTGTATTATGGGGAGCCAGGACTAAGCGCAGCCCTCCACGATGAAGTTCCCATGATTTAACACAAAACGGGCCTGCACGCTCAAGCACTGTGATTCTACAGGGAAGCAGGCTGGCTTGGTCCTGGACAAGCCTCCCTCGGTTCAGAAAGATGAGTTAAGCTCCCAGCTGGTCCCTCATGAATTCTTCCAGCACACTGATGACATTCTGGGCTTCCTGCATTTCTGCGTATTCTACTTTGACAATCTTCAAGAGCACATCGCCGCTGCCGGAGTTTTTGAGAAACAGGTAGCACTTGAACAAGGCATAATGGCTCATTTCTGCCTGCCGGATGAACCGCTTCAGGTTGTTGACGTCCTGTATGGCCTGAAAAGAAAGCAGCCAACATGTACACCAGTGTCCTGATCAAGCTGAGAAAGCCCTACGGAGAAACCCAAGGTCCACATATAGTCCCTTTGACAAGATCATTGTTCTGACTGAGGCTTCCTGAGAGCATGAAGCAAACCCCTGGTCCTGACAAAAAACCCTTTTATTAATCTACTGTGAATTATGCTCAATCACATCCAGCAAAGTCTTTCAAGGGAGGATTTACAGTCACAGACCTTCTCTGGCTTGGAGAGCTGCCAGGCCGATATTTGCAAAACCTGGCAAGGCGTCTCGGAGAGTCACAAACCAATTAAGTGAACTTATTCTCTCCTGCAAACTCCATTCCCCTTTCGCTCCTCTCTGTCCGAATCTGCGGGCTGCACCAGTCACTAGGATAAAAGGCAGTTTCACACGGTCCACTGGGCAAGGAGAGAAGGGTGGATGACTTCCCCCCTACAGGGCAATCGGGGCAGGCTGCTGTGGTACACCGCCAATAGATTTCTTATACACATACGGTGGTTCACCTCCTGCACACACGTTGGTATACAGGAATCAGGAGCAGTAAATGAGAAATTTAGGAGGAAGAACTTCATATCTTTAATCTAATCTAGTAGCTCCCAAAATAATTGGCACTCAAGGCACATTTCTCACAAGAAGGCCCATTATGTCTCGGTGGCGCAGTGGTTAGAGTGCAGTACTGCAAGCTACTTCTGCTGCCTGCCGGCTGCCTCCAGTTCAACAGTTCAAATCTCACCAGACTCAAGGTTGACTCAGCCTTCCATCCTTCCAAGGTGGGTAAAATGAGGGCCCAGCTTGTTGGGGGCAATAGGATGACTCTGTAAAACCGCTTAGAGAGGGCTGTAAAGCACTGGAAAGCAGTATATAAGCCTAAGTGCTATTGCTATGTTCAAAGGCAGTGGCCACCATGGCAAGGGCACAGCATTGCAGATTCTCTGGATCTCATGGTGACTAGCTGCCATTTGAGAGCTTATATAAGAGGAAAAGCAGACATTCTCCAATTAACAAATATTTAATTGGATAAACGACCTAGATATTAATATATAGAACACTTATTCAACTCTGATGAATCAATGTATTTAAAAGGTAATGTATAACCTTTTTAAAAATTCCTCAAGCCTTACAAAATTGGTTACTTATTTCGATCATACATTTGCCATAGTCTTATGT